TTGACCACTAAATCCGAGTCGCCATAGACCATCAGGCGACGGACGCCGAGTGAAATGGCCATGCGCAACCCATATAAGAGGGCCTCATATTCTGCCTCATTGTTGGAGGAATCAAAGTGAATCTGGAGCACATATCTGAGCTTATCTCCTCTGGGGGAAACCAGGACAACCCCAGCACCGGAACCATTCAACATCTTAGAGCCATCAAAAAACATGGTCCAATGCTCCGAGTGAACTTCAGTCGGCTGCTGCTGTTCAATCCACTCGGCGAGGAAATCTGCTATTGCCTGGGACTTGATGGCTTTCTTTGCCTCAAACTTGATATCAAGGGGAAGAAGTTCAATCGCCCATTTGGCCACTCGACCAGTTGCATCTCTGTTGTGCAAAATCTCTGATAGTGGAGCGTCGCTGACGACTGTGATGGAATGATCAGAGAAATAATGAGAAACCTTCTTTGTGGTCATGTATATTCCATACACAAGCTTCTGATAATGAGGATATCTCTGCTTGGATGGAGTCAAGACTTCAGACAAATAATACACTGGGCGCTGAACTTTGAGAGCTTTTCCTTCTTCTTCCCGCTCGACCGTTAGCACAATACTGACGACTTGTCCTGTGGCTGCGATATAGAGCAACAGAGGCTCTTTGCTGATTGGAGCAGCAAGCACCGGCTGGGTGGAGAGCAGAGTTTTGAGCTCGGCAAACGCTGCATCAGCTTCTGGAGTCCACTCGAACTTGTCTGTCTTCTTCATCAGTCGGTAAAGAGGCAATGCCTTTTCACCGAATCGTGAGATGAATCGACTTAATGCGGCCAAGCATCCAGTAAGCTTCTGGACATCGTGCACTCGCACAGGGCGTTTCATTCGGAGAATAGTGCCAATCTTTTTTGGGTTAGCGTCGATTCCCCGTTCGGAAACGAGAAAACCGAGTAACTTGCCACCAGGAACTCCAAATGTGCACTTTGATGGATTGAGCTTGATATCATATCTTCTGAGGTTGGCAAATGTTTCGGCGAGATCAGCGAGCAGGTCGGAACCTTTTCGTGATTTGACAACAATATCATCCATATATGCTTCCACATTCCGACTGATTTGAGTGAGTAGACACTTCTGAATCATTCGCATAAATGTGGCTCTGGCATTCTTGAGGCCAAATGGCATGGTGATATAGCAGAAGCACCCGAATGGAGTGATGAAAGCTGTTTTTACCTCATCGGGTCCGTACAGACGGATCTGGTGGTACCCGGAGTAGGCATCTAAAAAGGATAGCCTCTCGCATCCCGCGGTCGAGTCAACAATTTGATCTATGCGAGGGAGAGGAAAATGATCTTTCGGGCAGGCCCGGTTGATGTGCTTGAAATCAATGCACATTCGGAGCGACTTGTCCTTCTTAGGGACCATGACGACATTAGCGAGCCACTCGGAGTGGTATATCTCTCGGATAAATCCTGTCGCCAACAGTCGAGCCACTTCTTCGCCAATGGCTTTTCTCTTCTGGACGGCGGACCGCCAAAGATGCTCTTTTACTGGTTTTGCAGATGAGTCGACTCTTAGGCGATGCTCATCCAGTCCCCTGGGAACACCTGGCATGTCAGCGGGCTTCCATGCAAAAATGTCCCAGTTCTCACGGAGGAACTGGATGAGTGCTTCTTCCTATTTTGGGTCGAGTGTTGTGGAGATGCGGGTCGGAGCTACATCGGGGTCGGTCGGGTGAATGTGGACAGGCTTCGTCTCACCGGACGACTGGAATGCAGACTCTGTGGCGGGTTTCTTTGATCGCAGCAAGTCACTCGGATCTGCGTTTTGCTTGTATTCCTCGAACTCGACCGCTGTCACCTGGGAATCAGCAATCTTGGAGCCCTTCTGAAAGCACTCTTCTACCTTTTTCCTATCACCGGTGACAGTGATCACTCCTTTGGGGCCGGGCATCTTCAATTTGAGGTACACGTAACATGGTCGAGCCATGAACCGTGCGTAAGCTGGTCTCCCCAAAATGGCATGATATGCACTCTGAAAATCCACGACCTCAAACGTCAACTTTTCTTTGCGAAAATGTTTCGAATCACCAAACACCACGTCCAGGGCTATTTGGCCGAGTGACTCGGCTTTCTTTCCTGGAATAACTCCATGAAAGCTCATGTTACTAGTGCTTAGTCGGGACATCGGAATGCCCATTCCTTTCAGTGTGTCTGCATATAACAAATTCAGCCCGCTTCCACCATCCATCAGCACCTTTGTCAGTCGAGTGCCTTCGACAACTGGATCGACCACCAAAGCTTGCCTCCCAGGGGTGGCAATATGAGTCGGGTGATCAGATTGGTCGAATGTGATGGGTGTTTGAGACCATTTCAGATAATTTGCTTTCGCTGGGGCAACCATGTTCACCTCTCGGTTAATGACTTTCAGTCGACTCCTGCTTTCCACATCTGCAAAGATCATCAGAGTGGAGTTGATATGCGGATATCCTTCCTCACTGTCCTCCTTGTCTTCGGCCTTGTCCGACTCCTTCTCCTTGTCCTTAGCCTGTTTTCCTTGAAACTGCTGGATCAGGAGTCGACATTGGCGAGTGGTGTGCTTTGGGTAAATGATATTCCCCTCTTCGTCTTTCTTCGTGTGAAATGTGACATGGCATATCCATCACGTCGTTCCCTTCTTTATCCTTTACCTTCTTGGGGTTCCAGGATCCTTTTGGTTTCCCTTTAAACTTTCCTTGAGTCACGGCCAGAGCCTCTCCAGGAGCTGCCGGTTCAGCCTTCCGCTTCTGTTTCCGACTGGTGTTTCCTTTTTCCGACTGACTCGGCTTGTGCTTGCCGCTTCGGAGTCGGTCTTCTTCTTCGCCGTTGGCGTACTTGGTAGCAATCTCCATCATCCGACTCAAGGTCATGTCACCGGTTCGACCAAACTTCAAACTCAGTTCTCTGTTCTTGACGCCATCTTTGAAGGCGCAGACTGCCTGATGATCAGACACATTCTCCACAGTGTGGTGCAAAGTGATCCACCTCTGAATATACTCTCTGAGAGTCTCATTAGCTTTCTGCACGCAGACTTGCAACTCTGTCAATCCAGCTGGTCGCTTGCAAGTTCCTTCGAACGTCCTGACGAACACTCGAGACAAATCTTCCCAAGTGTAAATGCTGCTAGGAGGTAACTGAGTCAACCATGCCCTGGCAGAACCTTCCAGCATGAGGGGCAAGTGCTTCATGGCCACCTCGTCGTTCCCACCACCAATCTGAACTGCCACTCGGTAGTCTTGAAGCCAAGTTTCAGGCTTAGACTCACCAGTGAACTTGCTAACTCCTGTTGCCAATCTGAAATTGGGAGGGATAACTGCGGCTCTGATAGCTCTGCTGAAGCATTCAGGACCGGAAACATGCACTCGACTGCTTCTGGGTACATCTCTGTCGAGTCCACCTCGATGGGCTCTGTTCCGGTCGACCAACCCTTGCACGATAATGGATCGCGCGTCGAAGCCTGGTTCTCTGGGGTCGACTGGAACCCTACGCCCTGTACTGTACTGACGCCTATCATCTGGCTGCCGAGGAGCGTAAGACCAACCCCTCGGAGGGGAATTGGGCACTCGACGCCTATCATCTCGGTCGAGTCTGTCGCCATATTGATCTCGCCGATTCTCGCGCCCTTCACGCTGCGGAGGCGATCTGGGGCTGTGAGCCGACTGAACCGTATTCACAGTGATGGATCGACTGTGAATTCTGTTGGCGACTGAGACACGGCTGAATTCTGATCTCCTGCTGCCCGGAGCAGATCCCTGATCTGCAGCAAACCTCTGCCAGCTTCCGACTGCGAAGGCTGGATGGACTCTGCTATACGGGTCGCAGCTGCTAAATTCTGAATTGGGGTTCGATATACCTGAGTTGGCGGGAAGAGTTGACGTCGACTGGTGTCGGGAACTCGTTGCCGCGCGCGCTCGTCGAGTGCTCGCTGAAGGTTCTCCAGTCGAGTGTGCTCGGCCAAATTGGCCAGACGCGCCTCCTCCAAGGCACGAGCCTCGAGGGTTTCTCCTGCGATGGGAATACGCAGGGGATCCTCGTTCCTGCGGCGAAGTTCCTCTCTTTGCAGAGAGTCGAGTGGCTCGGGCTGGTACTCTTCGTAGCCTCGTGTAGGGTCGCCGCCGTCACCTGCTCCACGGGCGAAGCCAGGGGGACTGTGAGGCCCGTCGACCATCAAGATTTCCGCCGCTGGATCACTGCTACCGCACTCGGATGCAGTCTCTACGGAGCCAGTCGACAGATCAAACAAGCCGTAGAGAGATTCGTCGGGCTCGATTGCCACAACTTGGGTGGTGGCCGATTGGCGAGCCACCGCGTGCCTCACCCATCGCTGAAGCCTCGACCGGCCCGAGCGCTTGTGCTGGCGGGATACCGGGAGGGTGGGCTCTTAACCTTGTGGTCGTGGGTTCGAGCCCCACGGTGGGCGCCAACTGTCGTGGTTCTAAGCCTGACAGTAGAGTGGGGGGTAGGTATGGAGAGGCAAGGTCCTAGCTATGGAGAGGTTGTAAGCACAAAGGATGTACGAGTTCAGGCCCTTCTCGGAGGAAGTAACAGCCCTACGTCTCGGAGCCCGGAGGCGGTCGAGTGGATTATAAGTATATGAGTTACAAGGTGCCGAACCCTTCTGCCTGTGGAGGGGGTGGCTTATATAGAGTGCGCCAGGACCCCAGCCAGCCCACGTGGGAGAGGGTTTAAGGTGAGTTAAGTCTGGGGCGTTACTGATAACGCCCCACATAAAGTGCCTTTACTATCATAAAGTCTACTTGATTACAGGCCGTTGCAGTGCAGAGTGCTCTTGACCTTCTGGTGGTCGAGTGAGTCTTCGTGGTCGAGTCCTTCAAGACAGTCGAGTGTGTCCCTCGTTGGTCGACTGGAAGGCGACTTCTTCTAAGGGTGTCCTTGGGTAAGGTACTTAGATCAGGTCCATGACCCTACCCTAGGTACATAACCCCATCAGTGCACCCATCATACATGCATGCCAATAATAATTAATCTACTTGAAAAAGTATGGGAGGTCGAGCACGTAGAGGAGGAAGTAGGCCCAGACGGCGCCGGAGACACCGCCGGAGAAGAAGCCTCCGGTGAACTGGGACCAGCCTTGGGCGGTCTGCAGCTTGTCGGCCTCCTTCTTGCGGCCGGTGAGCGTGAGGGCTGGCGCCCCCTCGATGAAGGAAAGGAGGCGACACCGTACATGGTGAGGCAGACGCTGAGGATGGAGACGAGGCCGATGGCGCCGAGGGTTCCCGCCTGGCCGTGCACGGGGTTGTTGCGGAGCGGGCCGGTGAGCGCGAAGGGGCCGACGAGGAGGTAGCCGTGGGCGAGGCCGACCTCGATGCCGCGGAGGAGCGGGCTGACGGCGGTGCGGTACGCGGGGAGGTTGGAGAGGTACCAGGCGACGAGGGGGCTGGAGGTGACCGGCGTCTCCAGGCTGCCGATGAGCGGGTCGCCGTTGATGGGTTGGACCACCTGGTACGTCGCCTGTTGCTGCAGGAGAGAGTGGAGGCACGAGAATGTGTATGCACACCAAGCTAAATCGCTCAGCGCCGGACAGCCCCCGCGGCTTGGAGCACACCAAGCCGCTCGCCATCGGAGGAGCATATGCAGTAGCCATCTCAAGCTCCTCCTTCAACACTCTCACAGGCTCAACTCTGCTCTGCCTGCAGCTACAAATGGATGGATGTGTTGTTACAGGAAGAAGATTTGTCCGGAATCCGGATGGCAATATGTTTTAGTGGCTCCAGCCTCCAAGGGAGAGGAGAGGATCTGGCTCTTGTTGGGCGGGCCCTTGCATACGGTCTTCTTGTCGCGACGCGAACCAAAGACACCAACAACGCATGCATATATGATCGATCGCCTCCGCACGTACGGAACAAACCACGGTCTTCTTTTCTTTTTTTCGCAGGAACACAGACTTCTTCTTGTGTCGTCGACGCGCACGCACGCACGCCTCTGGCGTCATTCGTTCGATTACACGTACACCGGCGCGCGCACGCACGTTCCTCGTTTTTTTTAACATCAGTACATACACAAGAGCTCGTATACACGTGCATACATTCATCCTCTGTGAACGCACACACGCACACCCTACTCCTATGAGCACCTCCGAAAGACTGAGCAGGCATATCATCTTGAAATGTACAAAGTCACTGTCTCGATTTCCATTTGGAAGGAGCCAACCTGTTGCCGTTGCTTCCCTAATTGCTCTTACAGTAATTCTTTTTTTCTTTTGCGGGGGACAATTAAGAGAGGAATTTCTTGTTTGATTAGAATGCACCGTTGCCACCACCATCAACGATCCGATAACCTTACGTTATCTACAACTCGACACCATGGTTACCAACCCCTCACGAGGCACGGAAAAATCACCTACCCACCCGCTAGCACAACACTGGCGATACACCAACCATGCAGAATGAATGATGGTTCTCTCTTAAGTATTTCCTACCTCACGGGGGACCGAGGTTAGAAGACGATGGATGGTTATTCACAACAACAACAACAAAAAGAAAAAAGGCAACGGATGGCGTGCGGCTCCTCGGTCGATGCACCGCAACACAAGCTGGATGCCCTGCATCGGCTTGGTCGTCTTGAGGGTAGATGTACAAGGGCATGATGTTGACGTCCTCATTCAAGGTCAACATGTAACCCGTTGAACCCAACGTGGTTATAATTGGTTGACCACCAACAATGCCGTAGTTGAGCGACACGTTGTAGTGCTTGTTCTTGGCGCCGCCACCCATCCAGTCCATCAAACCATTCCAACAACACATCCTTGGCCTCCGATATCGCACCACCATCTCCATATGTGACGTAAGCTCGACGTGCCGCCACGGTCTCTTGTCTTGTGTTTTCTCAACCATGCATGCATGGATGGTCCATCGGTTACAACACTCCATTATATGGACGCCAATATGGCAATGGGATATGAGTTGGGCATCGTGGGCTTGACATTAACGAAGTCGACGAAAAATAAAGCTCCTGCAAACTAGGATCAAACTATAGCTTCCACCCGTTACCTGGTTTCTCGAAGAAGCGGTAATCCAATATCATACATGCAGTGTCGATCTATTCACCGGGCCACCGGTGCCAGGACATGCACCGGAGCCCGAGGAGGTAGGCCACGTGGCAGCTGAGAGCTTCAGGAGGGCGCCGACTCAATGCACGATTGACGCATTGTAGTGGAGGAGAGGAAAACAAAAAAGGGTAACCCATTGATTAGTGGGTGCCAAATTGCCAAAAAAGAAAACATCGGTAGCAATTAAAAGGTAATCACCTCAACAATGTTTTAGTTACACCCAAATCATTTTCTATCTTAGTAATATAATACATGAAGAAACTTAGGCTAGAGTTGGTCTTTGGGTTTTGTAGGGAGCACAGAATAGGATCCACGTGATGTGTGGTATCTGCCGTCGGATCTAGGAGACAACAAAAGAAATGAACGGATGGGATCGGTTGGACAATCGGTGATCCGTGGGAGCCGAACCCTGGCCAATCACGGCTCTCAGCTCGTCGCCCCCGCAGTCTTTCCCCAATTATTACCCCGCGTTCAGCTCAGGCTAGCGCGCGCAACAATTCTCAAAGCATTTCAATGCCCCGCGTAAAGTTTGGTGCGCCGGCGCGGGCCAAGTGGAAAGAGGGATAGAGATAGTAGTGTTTCAAACGAGAAGAGACGAAACCCAAAACAAAAACAAAAATCCTCCACCCAACCAGAACCATGTGCCTTCCTCGACCACCCCCAACCCCAACCCAGCCGCCGCCGGCCTCCGTCGTCTCCCCCAACCCCGGTCGTGGCCTCCACTCCTCGGTCGGCGTCTCCTTCTTCTCCGGACCTCTCCCTGGACGCAGATCCGCCCGAGCTGCTCTGCCCGCGGCCAGATCCGCCATCCCTCCTCGCGCCGGAAACCCTAGCCGCCCGGCCACGGCGACGTCGACGTGGTGCTCTGGTACGAATCCCTCCTCCTTCCCCTTCTCTCTCCCTCCCTCTTCTACTGACCCCAATTTCATCTCATCTTGCCTCGTCTCTTCTCTGCAGGCGAGGTAGCAGCTACAGCCGACAGCCAAAGGAATGGCTTTCGAGGTCTGCTCCTTCTCCACGGGTAGAAAGAGGAGCCTCCTTGTTGGTCTGCTCCGATCTAGCCGGCGCCGACGCCATGGAAGGTCCCCTGCCCCTCTCCTCTCCTCTCCTCTCCCCTCCCTGTTCTATTCCCTCTTTGTTCTAGGCTGATTCAGTTTCTTTTTTTTTTTGTTCTTCCTCTCTTTCTGATTTAAACATGAGCATGGACAGATTCCACTAACCATGTGGCTCACTGGTTGGATCTTATTGTCGCTCAACACTCCTTCGTGTTAGTACGTTCGCTACTGGGTGCACCGTTTCATTTTAATTAAAAGAAATCCTTTTTTATTTGTAGCATTTTGCTGAACCGAATTGATCAAGTTGGGGCTCCTCTTTAACCCAGGTGATTCATCACCTCATGAGCTCTTAGAAATTTTGCTCTGTTATTGTTGTCTCCTACAGAAATCTACACTGGGAACTCTGTCAATTGATTCGTGTATACTAGCTAGCAGCAGCACAGTTGCAAGCTTGATCAGTTTATAGTAATTAAAAACTATTAATAAAAAAAGCCAGAGTGATGCAAGGATATTTATTTCCCCCCCGATGTTACTTGTGCAGCAGCGTTTCCTGCTTTTGAGTAGTCTTATCCTTTCTGTAACATGGCATTGCTATCTACAGTCTGAACTATGATTTTTTTCATAAGAATTGTGATATTGATCTTGATTAAGGACCACAAGTGTAGGAATTTCATCACGATGTGTAATTGTTGATACCTGATAGTGTTCATCGGATCTGACAAATCAAGCGGTACTCTTATGTAGTAAGAATTCTGAATGAATTTGACAGTTCAGAGTATGGTATTTCTTGGATAACAAACAATATTGATATCTAACTTTGACATCCATTTTGTAATTAAGCAGACACATTTTCGTATCTAATGGGTTTATTTTACTTAACCTAGATGCTCATATATGCAGGCGAGGCAGGTCCCTATCCCGCGGCCCAGCCCTCAAGATGACAGTCTACATGCTTAGTGATGCCCAATATGCATTGCAGGTATGTGCCATTTACTGTTACCGCTAAGTAAATTCTCCTCTTCTCAGTAACATAGATGGTGATGTTAGTGTTTTTGCATTGTGACATAGGAATCTTGAGCTATGTTCTTATATGTCATATTTTAGTTTACTCGTCTCAGCTAGTTGGTTACTTCTCATGGTTGGTAGTTAGAATAGTCTTTCTTTGGTCATGATTTCATGTAGATGTGTCATATATTTTCTTAGGCTTGCTAATTTGCATCGATTTGGCTGTAACAGAAATGACATTCTTTTACCTGATGCTGCAAATGCCAAAGAACTAAGGCCAATTAGTATACTGCAGGAGCACCTCCTATCGTTTCCTTTTTGTTGTGACTAAAAGAAAACCTTCTAATTTGTAGGGACTTGCGGACCCGTACAAGGATCAAGTTGGAATTCCTCTCTGCCCCTGCAGGTGATTAATCACCTCATATGCTCTTAGCAATTTACAGTCTATTATTGTTCCCAATAGAAATCTACAGTGTTAACTAACAGAAGTCGGTTATTGTTTGATTTTATTTGGTGTCAAGTGTTCCACGTATACTAGCAGCAGCATAGTTGCAATTCATCTTACCACAGATAGATTGCTTGGTCTGTGGTGATAAAAACACTAAACTATTACTAAATAAACTATAGTGATGCACTGATATGCACCCCCTCTGTTGTTACTTGTATAGCAGCATTTCCAGCTTTTGATTTTTCCTAACCTTTCTTTAACATGGCATTGCTACCTACAGTGTGAAACTAGTTTTTCATTTTCATATGAATTAGTATTATATTGATCTGTGATTAAGAGCCAAAAGTGTAAGAATTTCAGTACGATTCTTAATTGTTGAGACTTGATAGTTGGTATCACATTGGGCCAATCAAGCAACAACACTCTTATATAGTCAGAATGCAGAATGCATTCACCAGTCCACATAATGGTATTTCTTGGATAACGAACAATATTGATCTACTTGTTTTTGACATAGTAATTAACGACATACATTTCCATATCAAATGGTTTTATCTTATTTAACCTACATGTTGATATATGCAGGTGAGGAAGCCCCTTGTCCCGCGCCCCAAGATGAGGGTCTGCATGCTCGGTGATGACCATCATGTGTGGGAAGTATGTGTCGTTTACTGATGCTGCTAATTAATTCTCCTTCTCTCTGTAACATAGATGGTGATACTAGTGTTATTACATTGTATCATGGGAACTTTGAGTTTTGTTTTGATCTGTCATCTAATAGTTCACTTGCTCAGCTGGTCGGTTACTTTTCGTTGTTAGAAGTCAGAACTGCCTTTTTTGGGTCATGACTTCATGTAGATGTGTCATATATTTTCCGAGGATTGCAGATTTAAATTGAATTGGCTGTAATAGAAACGAATTCTTTTACTGACATGGATATATGCTTTGCACCTCTGATTATATTATTTACTAGTTTTCAAATTAGCTCCTTCACTTACTGTTTTATTAGTGCTATTGTTTGTCTAGTA